GCCCGACCCGGTCCGGACCGGCCAAACAGTCATATTTGGCTATTTGACCGATTTGCCCCTTAAAATGGTCAAAAAACGGCTAGAATATGAGGGTTTTTGGTCATTTGCCTAGGGGTCTGCCTCTATAAATAGAGGGGGGTTTTCACTTCTTCTTCTCACACCAAAACTCTTCTACTTCTCTCCAATACTCTCTTATACAATATTATACTCTCTTATAATCTCTTATATTTTCTAATACTTCTATCAAATGGCTTCTGGATCTGATTATGAAGAGCAACACCTATCTCCTACCGATCCAAAAATGAGTCCTCCTACAACAACTACTCCTCCTCCTACCGGTATTAATTCTGAATCTGGTGACGACGAATCTACTGCACCAAGAGCTCCTAAAAGGCCGAGATCCTATGTGTGGAATTTTTTTGAGAAGATAAACGTCACCAAGAATGAACACAGTAGGATCATCTCCCAGAAGGCAAAATGTGCATTGTGCGGCCATGTTTTCTAAGCTCATCATAAGAGCGGCACCAGCCATCTCAAATGTCATATAGAAAAGCACAACAAAGGCCAGGATCTTCAATGTGATATCTGACAGTCTATGATTTCTCAATCCTCCTCTTCTGGTACCCTCGGTAGTTGGAATTATGACGCTGCCCGAGCTAGAAAATGCGTAATCAGGTTTATTGTTCTTAAAAACCTGCCTTTTAAATTAGTAGAAGATGATGAATTTGAAGATTTGTTTAGAGATGGTTTTTATCCTGTATTTACAAAATTTTCTCGTCAAACCTGTCAACGTGATATTTTAAAATATTATTAGGGGGAACAAGGAAAAATAATTTTTTATTTTAAAAATTTAAACTATAAATTTTCTTTAACTTCTGATATTTGGACATCTAGCGTACAAACTGGTTATTTATGTATTACAGCACACTGGATTGATGAAAATTGGCAAATGTTTAAAAGAGTTGTTTCTTTTATTATAATTAAAGAGTCACACACTGTTATTAATATTGCAAATTTAATAATTGAAGAACTTATGAAACTAGAAATTGATCAAAGAATATTTTTTCTTTCACTAGATAATGTAAGTAATAACAATGTAGCTGTTGATTTTATTAAAACAACTCTGTCATTATCATGTCATGGTGACCTTTTTCATGTTAGATGTATCTGTCATATTTTAAATTTAATTGTTCAAAGTGTATTTTTTTGAAATTAAACTCATGATAGAAAAGGTTAGAACAGTTGCCAATATGCATAATGCTTCTGAAATAAGAATTAAAAGATGGAAACAATGTTGTAAAAGAAAAAATTATAAGCCTAGACTAATTCCAAAAGATGTTGACCATAAGTGGAATTCCACATATGCAATATTAAGTGTAGCAATAGAATATAAAGAAATTATAAATAATTTTATAAATTTTTATGCTTCTAGTTCTAGCTCTGGTAGCACTTATAGAATAAGTGAAGATGAATGGACAATTATATGTAAATTAAATGAGATGTTACAAGTTTTTTATGATGCTACTATGTTATTATCTGGTTGTTATTATCCAACTATTACTTTAGCTGCTTTACAAATTTTAAATATTCAAAAAAAATTGCTAAATATCGTATGGATGATATTTTTGGAAATATAATTTTTCAAATGGAGAGTAAATTTAATAAGTATTTTAGGCATGTTCCTCATATTTTTGGTTTGGGGGTTCTTATTGATCCATGTTTGAAGGATATTGGTCTTCGAAGTTTGTTACAGCCATTGTATGGTGGACAGATTATAGACTTAGATGATGGTTTCACCCTTACTGTTACTTATTATCATTTATCTATTAGAAATTATTTTCAAACATTATATGATGAGTATGCAGCTAGACATGGTGTAGCTGCACAACAGTCTACAGCTTCAGTGCCTTCGGCTTCGAGCACAGGTCGAGGTAAAAGTGTAAGTTTTGATAGGTATGCAATGGTAGCTGAACTAACTGGTGAATCTGAAATTGGTTCAGGATTAGAAGTTTATGAATTAGATGAATATTTTTCTGCTTCCTTAGTTAAATGTCAAGGAAATGCTTTAGATATTTTGTAATGGTGGAGAGTATATGGATCAGTTTCATATCCTATACTTTCCACCATGGTTCGTGACTTACTATCAGTGCAGGTTTCGACTGTAGCCTCGGAATCCGCTTTCAGCACAGCAGGACGTTTGATCGACGACCACAGGACATGCTTAGATCAAGATTGGTGGAGGTACGAGAAGCGAACACAAGGCATCGATCAGATTGCTATAATTGAAGATAAATTTGAAGAGTTGAGACTAGCAGATAGATATAAAGATTAGATAATATTCATCAAATTATAATTTTTATTTCTTAGCTTTAAATTTGTAATGAATTATTTCGAAAAAAATTACAAATGATAGTGATATGGGTGAGTATGTGCCAACCTAGTTGGGATTTACTCATCTATTGTGATGCGATGAATTTCAAAATAAATTTATAATTGTAAAGGATTTACTAATTATTAATAAAGAAATTATTTTTATCATCTTTTATTTTTTTAATTTTTTGTACTTATAATTTATGTCATTTCAAGTTATTAAAAAAATTTATGTTATTTTCTGTAATTTTTATGTATATTTTATAATTTATTGTTTTTTTAATAATTTTTAAAAAAAATTAAAAAAATAGGGAAAAAAATCGGGCCGATCCTGAGCCCGGCTCGGGTCACCCATGCCCGGGTCCGGGCTTCGGTTTTGTCTGGCCCGGATGGACACCCCTAGGTGAGAGCACATTCCCCTAGGTCAGAATAATACCTAAAAGCATTTTCCCCTAAAATTTTAATTCACCCCTCGATATGAAATGAAAAGGAGATATACAAGAATGAATTGACTAGTGCATTCAAGATATCCCAAAGGGAGGGAGTGGAAAGGAAGAGGGTGTGATGGGACTAATTGTGTTTAGACAGATAACAAGGGATGAGGGGTGTTAGAACGTTGTTCATGTAGAATGTTATTCATGCCATTGTAGGGTCTTAAAAAAAAGATTTTGATTGATTCCTTTAACCGTATTAGTTTTGGGAAAAGACTATATCGCTTGGTAAGAGTCGTTTTTTACAATCACTCTTTCTCTCAAGTACAGAAGAGGAGAAGGTTGATTTGACTTCTCCTTTGTTTAACGTTGGTTCTTTGAGGGGATATGATGCTTCACTCGATGCTTGTGTTGAGTTTGCTTCCCTTTAACGATTCGAACGAGGTTGCGTACAAACTTCAGCGCGTGGTAGAAGTTTGGTTGGATGAGTTCGAATGTCAAACAAGTGCTTGATTGGATGAGTTCGAAGGACAAACTTCAGCGCGTGGTTAATCTAAAAGTTTACAATTTTTGGACAATTTCACATCTATCTTTTATATTATCGTCGTCCAATAAGGATAAGCTAAAACTTTAAAGGACAGTTTAGTATTTTTACTCTCCATGCTAACTCTGTTGACCAGACTTTTTAATTGTTTAAGAGGGTATATAATTGTGTAACTTCCATATATGATGGGTCTTCTCATAAAGCCCATGCCGTTCTGTGGAGAACATTCAAAGTTCAAGGGCGTTATATGAAATTTACACTTTTTTAATGCTTTGGTTCAGGCCAAAAGATCATCTACTGCTCGTCCACGCCATTACAATATATTTTATCGAATTCTTTAATCTTCACATGCCGCTCATTTTGAAGATTCCCAAAATTTATCGTCCCCACATAAAGAAGAAAATGTTTTCATCCTCTCGATATTTTTCAATCATGTGAAAAGACTCCGCGTCGTACGGATGACCCAGCAAAAGATCAATGTATTTACTGGGAAGACTCACCTTATTAGATAAATCTCCTTTTTCTTCTCTTGTTAGATCATTTTTGCTGAGAGCATATTTAGAAAATTTAAATTATATTCTCGCTTAGATCAAAATTCACAAACGAGTTATAATCCAAGTAGATTATGTTCCAAGTATTATAATCTATAGTGTTTGATAAATTATAGTCTGTTTTCAATAGTAGAATGTTAGGTAAATGTATAAATTATAATTTATTATTATTGTCAAAATAACAAAAGAAGACATAATTTTAAATTTAAACACTAGGGAGATATAAATGGACCTTGGAATTTAGTGAAATGATGAGGGATATGCACTTCTTTCACACGGTCTAAGCTTATGGCTTATAATCCATTAAAAACAACACGGGATAATCCAACTTATTTTTTAGCGGATTACAAAAAGAACTTACTAAAACATCTCAAAGTGGTTTATATTCTACTTATTTAGACTTAGTCACTTTAATCACTTTGCAAACATGCCCCTGATAACATGGTTGCTCATATCTAGTTTGGATTAATTTCACATAACCCGCCTGAACTTTGAGGGGGCGTTTCACATAACCCCATAAACTTTCTTTATCTCTCCTAACCCCTTTGAGCTTTGGGGATGCCTCACAACCCCCCTTGAACTTTAACATTTTCTCACCGGACAACCCTACTAGTAGTTTATAAATAACTAAAATGTTCTTGACTTAAAAAACTCAAAATTTATCATTTGTCATTTACAGGGAAGCTACCTCTTCCCTAAAATTTTGGAATTTTTTTTCTCCAAAGAAGTTTAATTGAGGTAAATGTTGGGGGGGTGTAAAAGTAAAATTTTACCTTAAAGATAAGATAAATTTTTGGGGGGTAAGTCCCCCCAAAAAATTTCAACATCACTGATGGCTAACCCCATCAGCAATGTTATACTGCTCGTTAGCGATGTGACGGGCGCTTGACAATGCTAACGGGTACATCTTTGATGGCGTGTGCCATTAGGGATGTAAACAATGCTAACGACAGCCTCCCATCAGGGATGTTGCCGTCAGCGTTCTAAATATTTCTACTAGTGAGAGAATTGTTCAAAAACTTTAGTGAGATTTTAGGAGACACCTTAAAGTTTAAAAGGGTTATGTGAGATAAATAAAGTTTAGAGAGGTCATGTGAGGCAAATAAAGTTCAAAGAGATTACATTAATTAACTCCTAGTTTCCCATTCTTATATTATCCTTTTGTCTCTTTTATCTTTTCTTTATGTTCTCTAATAACGTTTGAACGGAGATAGATAGCTAGTTAAGATAGCTAGTTAAACTGGGAAAGTAGAAATTGTTATTAGCTTAAGGGATTTATATGTATCAACCCACAATTATCTCTTGTTTCAAAACCCAAACAAAAGGTTACTTTTACATAACGCCCTTGAACTTTGGGGATGTTGCACATAATCACCACACTTTATTTATCTCGCATTACCCCCTGATCTTTTGGATGTCTAGCAAAACCCCTAAACTTTGAACTTTTCTTATCGGACCCCCTACATAAAATTTATAAATAACTATAATTTTCTTGAGAGGAAAAGACTCAAAATTTAGGGGAAAGTTTATGTTGCCTTCAAATGACAAGTGATAAATTTTGGGATTTTTTTCACTCAAAGATATCTTAGTTATTTACAAATTATAGGTAGGGGGTTGAGTGTGATAAGATAAAGATCAGGGGGTTTTATAAGGCACCACATTTAAGGGGTTATGTGAGATAAGCAAAGTTTGGAGGGGCCATGTGCAACACCCTCAAATGTCAAGCGGATTATGTGAAATTGACCATAAAAATTTCGTATGCGTGATACCGTTTCATGGTTGCTGACCTTTGACCATTTTAACTTACAGCGGTGACCAGATCCAATCCAACAACTCTATTTATACTTTTTGATCATCACCACCCGATTCCTCCCAGAAAAAAAAAATCGTTCGTAACTCATTTACATTGGGGAAGAAAAAAAAAAGCAAAGTCATGGGATCAGAGATGATGACGAATGATCTGCTAATATCGCAGGTTCCCTTTGAAGAGGAAGCAGAGTTCGTTCTAATGAACGAGAGGAAACAGGGGAGGATCGTTGGCCTCGTCTTCGTCGATGTTGTTAATGGCTTCTGCACTGTTGGAGCTGGCAATCTCGTACGTCTCTTACGCTTTTGATCTTTATTTTTCGTCAAAGTTTGAATCTTTTTTGGGTTTGGATTGGTGGGTAATCTTTGGTTTTTGAAGATGACGGTACTTTTTGAAAGTTTTATCAATTGTTGTTCTCTGTTGTTGTCAAAGTTCGAACATTTTAATTGGTTCAGTTGGTGGGTAGTCCTTAATTCTGAATATTAAAACCTTCGTTTTCTGCTGACTTACCCTTTTTTAAGAGTGAAATTGCACTTTAAAACGTTCTAAAATTAATCCTTTTAAACTTTAATATATTTCGCTGCATAGCTGTTAAGTTTGCCCAAACGAAACTTTCAAGTGAGCCATTCCTTTCAAATTTGTGGGTTTTGTTTCGATATTCGTTGTTGATTTTGTCGAACATGGTTAGTTTTGTTACTGTTCAATGTCAAATTCAGTGTTTCTAACTGAAAGGAAGAAGTACGAGAGGATTCAGACGGTTTTCTTTTTCGTATAGGAGTATAAAAGTCCAAAAATAGCCTTTTAGACAAAACTCTGAACAATGAGTATTATAGTTAAAGTTTTAAAACCGACCCTCTTTTATTATGACATTCACCTTTTTCTATTTGGCCACTTCTATTTCTTGTCCTTCAGCAACTGAAGAAACAAACTCTACACTATATAATTAGATTTTGGGTCTTTTGGATTGTTATGTAAAGATGATTGTTGTTAACTTCCTTCCCAATTTCTTTCAAGCCACCATTCGTAAATCTTTTTCCCTTCATTGGGTCTGTATTGTTTTCATTGTTCCTTTCCTTAATTTAACTTGCTTACCAAATTGATTGGACTTGCGTTGTGCATTCTCAGGCACCGAATGAGCCTAACAAACAGATAGACACAATGGTAGAAGAGGCTGCAAGACTCTCGAAGATATTCTGCGAAAACAAATGGCCTATATTTGCTTTACTTGACACTCATTATCCTGATAAGCCTGAACCCCCTTATCCACCTCATTGTATCGTCGGTTCCGGTGAGGAAGACTTTGTTCCAGGTATTATTCGGTTTAATTTTAATAAAAAATAAAGATTCATATTACTGACTAATGTCGGAGTAGTAGGCTGATGCTTCTCATTACACTAATGCGTGCAGCTCTTAAGTGGTTGGAAAACGAACAAAATGTTACAATAAAGAGAAAAGATTGCATCAATGGGTTCATTGGTTCAATGGAGAAGGATGGCTCTAATGCTTTTGCCTATTGGGTGAAATCAAATGGGATCAATGTTGTGAGTAGTCCTATCTTTTATATTAGAGCAAATCCAAGAATTGCTTTTAGTGATATTGTAATATATTCCATTCATTGATGGAAGTATTTAGTACAGCCACACCCTGTCTAATATGGCGCGTTAGCCACTTTTACTACCTAAACTATTACTAGCTCTTACGCCCCTTACTTCAGATGGCAAATCCCTTAATTTAGAGCACAAATTTATTCTTACTTTTTAGCTAAAATGAGGTAGCAAAAGATAATTAATCGTCACGTGATTCCTATGAAACATCTCAATCTAAGTTGGAAACTATGTCGTCTGGAGTTCAGAGGTTAAAGGTCTAGTAAACAACTTAGGTGGTATAAGTAGCTGGGCCCTCATACTTTAAGGGTGTATTAACAATCAACCCTTAATGCAGTCATGTCACACATTTATGTTTTTCATTTTAGCAAGCGTTTAACTACAATGATGATATAAAAATGAGATGCTGACATCATTGGTCTTATATGTTGTTCTTTGATTGCAGGTTTTGGTTCTTGGTATATGCACGGATATATGTGTGCTAGACTTTGTGAGTAGCGCTTTATCTGCGAGAAATATTGGTCTTGTTAGCCCATTGGAAGATGTTGTGGTTTATTCACAGGGATGTGCTACTTATGACTTGCCGCTGCATGTTGCTAGAAATATCAAAGGCGCTTTAGCACACCCTCAGGTTTGTAACCCGTTTTACCTGTGTTTCAATACCCTTGACATAACTTCTAAAGTAGAGTAGTTTCTACAAATTTTAGTAGATCTAAGGCGTGTATTCTTAGAGATTTGCAAGTCCAAGAGAGGAGAGAAATATAGCAGAGCCTGTTGGAAATATAAGCTGACTGACTGCAAATAGATTTCTAGGAACCAAGGTTTTAAATGTCAGATATCAGGTTCATGTCGGACGGCAAACATTCATGTCGGATAGCGGAAATCGGGGATATGTTGGGGGACATGAAAAAAATATCAGATTGCGGCATCGGATGATGTGCACGTGTAATATATATATCATAAAGGAAATCTAAACATGCTTAATAAATTCTATTGTCTAAATATATAAAAAAAGTAAATAACTTATGTTGCTTAGGGTTGATGTTGAAGGAAAGAGGTGAGAAAAGAGGAATCCGATGTTGGCAGTTAAGGAGAGAGAAGATCGCTCGATATTGATATTGAAGGAACAATTCGGAGAAGAGACTAATGAGATGTCGAGAAGAGAAGCGATGGAAATGACTTCGGTCTTTTTTCCATTTTCCTAACTGATCAAGTTTTGTCTTTGAAAGCAATATTAAGACAATCAGGAATTTAAATCCCAATCTGATAAGATAAATAAAATAAAAAAATCACCAAATTTTTCAGATTGAAAATTTGGCCGACATAGCCGATATGTCCCCCAATATATCCGCCCGACATATACGACATATCCCACAATATATCTGATATGAATCTTGAAAATGCAACACACATTGAAAAGCTCCATATCATGTCGGTTGGCCTCTAAATCTGACATGTCGATCGACATGCCTGACATGACAGCCAACATTTAAAACACTGCTAAGAGCTAATTATCGCTGATTCAGTTAGCACATAAAAGTATTTTGTAAAAGTATTTGTACCTGAAAAGATTGTTATTCATTTGCAGACCCCAAAACTCTATGTTGTTTCTTTATGTATTATATAATGGAGTGTTTTAAATTAAAACATGTTATAATTGAATATACGTCTGAGTAAATGTATGTGTATAGTGAAGGCGTGTCCAAGGAGTTCGGGTACGAGTGTATAGGGTTAATAGCGGATAGATTCTCTGTATTATCAGCCTGTCACCCAATTTTGGATAGACCCCTACTAGTTCTATTTGTGCGGATAGATCACCTGAGTGAATTATTCTCTTAAAAATCAAAAAAAAAGTTTTGAGGAGGAGGATAGACCTCTTGTATTTTTATTGGTGAGGATATAGACTCCAAGTTGCTTATTTCTTTTGACCATGAAAAGAGTAGAAAAAGTTTACTCTGAGGGCTCTATTAGCACTTGGACAAATAATAGAGGGGATCTATCCGCAATTGAGAGGTATTACAGGGGTCTATTTGTAATTAACTCTTTTACATATTCCAAGACATCTTTGGTTATAGTTTTTTTCGTGCAGTTTGTATTATGCAGTCTATTATTTCCTACGAGGGTCTATTTATATGAAGAATGCTAAAGTGCTAATTTGGCTAATTGGTTTAATGAACCTTGTTTCTAAGTTTGTACAAAAGTTTATCAATCCAGTTGTGTTTATTAAAGCAATTGTTCTCAATTGTTTAAACTAGATAGTTTTGAAGAACATAAGACCAGTTCTCACAAGAAAGGATGGGTAGATGTTTCATATACATGGATATATGTTACATTGTTTATTCCTCTTTTAGTATTAACCAACAGATGCTATAGTGGTTAAAGGCTTATAATCAAGGGGAAAATAATTTCAGCTTTTTTCAGCTAAATGCTCACAATGTTTTGAAAGATTTTTTTCTCGGTGCTTATTCTATATAAAACTGACTTCTAATACTACTGCATACGTGCAGGAAGTCCTCCATCACATGGGACTGTACTTGGCGAAGGGAAGGGGAGCCAAAATAGTACAAAATGTATCCCTTGGCTCTTCACCGGTGCTTTGAATTGCCTGTTACGTACATATTTGCATCTTTCCCTGGACGAGAGGGAAATTGAGCAAGGCATACATTCACAAAGTAACAAGAACAAGAACAAGAACAAGAGCACTCTTCAGAACCATTGAAGATGCTTTGGCTTGAAGGTCTGAAGCATCACTCTCATTGTTGTGCTCAGGATAGTTATACCTTCTCATTTTATTTACTTCCTCTGAATGTGATAGTTCTCTTTTGGCAAAAAGGCCAATTTAGTCGGTGTAACTAGATCTCCATTCTCAAATTGGTCCCTCAACTTTCTTTTTTTCTTAACATAGCCCTTGTACCACACCTTAGTTACAAATTAAGTCATTTTTTTAACATCCGTTACAAAATCGGTATTAATTTTTTTATTTTTGACCATATTACCCTTAATTACATTACAACAGAGGTTCCTTGTACTTTTGATTACAACTCTTCTTTCAAACTCATTCAACACCAGTTGTTGCAAAAAACTTTCTCCAATCTACAGTATTACAAAAACTCGTAATTCAGTATTATTAGAAAATGGTCCGTAAATTGAATAGAAGTTAGTTGATCTCAGGTTTTAAATATCGGATATCGGGGAACTATCGGATGACCAAAATTCATATTGAATTGCGGATATCAGGGAAATATTGGGGATATACGGTAAATATTGGAATGCCATGAATGTTTGCATATATAGTATAATACACTAAAATGTATTGTCAACATACTTAATAAAATCTAAGCGTACAGAATGTAAATAATATATGTTTAAGATCACTAATCAACCTTGTGAAACAAACAAAAGTACAAATCAAAGCTGTAACATTTTGTTTGATTTTTTAGGTGAAAATGCCATTTGATATAATATTAAAATCATGATATATAGCCCAAAAATTGCCAAATACAGTATATTATTTTGCAACAAGTCATATAAAAAGATATATCGGTTGATATATTGGGCATATCGGGGATATATCGCCCATAATAGCAAAAAAGGTAAAGGATATTTAGGGACCATATTGGTTGTGGCAAATCTTGTAAAAGGATATATCTAGCAATATATCAGGCCATTTCGGGTATATTTAAAATCGGCGGCTGATCTTACATAAGATACAGTTGAATCATGCACACATTATTCGATGGTGCTCCTGTTATCAAGATAACATCATTTACCTTAACTTCCATTTGTGAAAAGTAAAGTTAAATCTGAAATTCCGCGCATTTCCTTGAATTGGTGCATTTCCTTGAATAGGTGAAAACTAAAGTTAAAATGTTAAACTTCTTCAAATCCTTTCATGCTTCTTTCTTTGAGCAGATCAAGTGAAAGTATCTCATGTTATTCTTTCTTTCCATAACCGATTGTAACACAGGAATTTCTGGAATCCATAAAATTTCTTAATCATATCATTTGTGAGAAGAAATCCTTGATTTATATCATTAAAAAAATGAAAAAAAAAGGAGAGGATCCATGCTCGAGAATTTTATATTCAAAAAGATCGATATAAAATATTGTGCAAATAACAAAGTATAATCGATCTGGCTAGTTTTGAAAAGAAAAACTAATGAGCAACATTTAACATTAGAAAATTTGTCTTGAAGCAATATAATCTGTAATCACACTAGAGATTCAGAGAATGAACTAATAATAGAATTTAGGAGAAAAAAGAGATTCTAATACTGTGAGGGTTTTGCTTTTGGATGTTGTACAAGGTCATAGCTAATATGCACTGAGAATATAAAAGTTAATGTAAATAAAACACATGCCTGCAAATTTAAAGTAGATTTCAAGATAAAGAAATATTCAAGAGGTCAAAAGAGTGTCTACCCTCAGGTGAATTCGGATATTCTAATTTGGATTTTGGGAACGGCTAACGTCGTCGTGTTAATCTTCCAATAATATGGAGTAATTGCTTTAACAAATTTAAAAGTTTGTGGTACTTTTGTCTAATATGAAAATACTTATTATAGTTATTTAGCACACCGTTTATCTTTTCTTTATATATAAGAACTTCCTTTTTGACATTTTTTAATTACAAAATATATTTACTTAACTTTTCTTTCTTTCTGTCATAAAATGAACCAAACTCAGTAGGTAGTATTTCAAATGATAGCTTTGGAAATTCGTAAAGGCTTTTGGAGTTTGCTCACCCTCGCCGGATCGCGACACTTTTTTCCGCCCATTGTAGCATGTGTGTCGCCAAAGGGCATAAGGGGTATGATGACTTGACGTCATCCTCACCTTCTTCCGGCTTATCACCAATAGTTTGTTCAGGGGTCGGCACTCAATGGTGGCAACTAAACACGAGGGTTGCACTCGTTGCAGGACTTAACCTAACACCGTATGGCACGAGCTGACGATAGCCATGCACCACCTGTGTCCGCGTTCCCGAATTCAGCCCTGATCTCTTTTAAGAGGATTCACAGCATGTCAAGTCCTGGCAAGGTTCTTCGGTTTTGCATAGAATTAAACTACATGCTCCACTGCTTGTGCGGGCCCCCATCAATTCCTTTGAGTTTTATTCTTGCGAACGTACTCCCCAGGCGGGATAAGAGCAATAGGCTGGACCACCCTACAAAAACGAAACAGTCTCTCTGTAACCAATCACCCATAATATCAAATAAGTGGTGATACGTAAGTTCTCTTACATAAACAACTAGGAATTTGTCGTGCTATTCGATGTGGGACTAAACAGAAGTCCTATAATCTAATAAGTCTTAGAGTCAAGGCTCAAATACTCACGATTAGGGTTGAGCACGGTTCGGTTCGGGTCGGTTTTTACCAAATTTTGAACAACCGAACAAAATCGCATATAATTCAAAACCGAACCGAACCGTTGCAAGTCGGTTTGGTGTGGTTTGGTTCGGTTTGTTCGGTTCTAACTTTATTTTCAGAATGACTTAAACAATAGACTTGCCAAATGCTAAATGAAATAGAATATATCGTGATGGGTAAGGGATCCCATGAATATTAAATAGTAGTATTTCAGTGGTTGCTGACTTAATTTGGAAAAACAAGAGGGGAAAAAAGGAACAAAATCATCATTCATGAAAACATATATACCAGAAAACAAATTAAGGGTCGTTATCAAAACACAAACTCAGAAATCATAAGAGAATAGGAGTGCATAAATGAACAGGAAACTGATAGTCCGATATCTCAACTTACTAGCTGATGTATCCAAGGAAATAAATCAAAATTAAAGAATAATCACAGTTAGAAGCTTGAAGAAGGGCAAAAGATAAAGTTTATATCTCGGTCTTGGTGACAGCGACGGGTGCGGGTGTCCCCCTTAAAGCCGGAGACAGATCCTGAGCCTGAGGAGATGTTTCGGCCTCGGCCATGAAGACTGCGGAAGTGAGGAAGAGGAAGAGGATGTGAGAGAGGTGGACCGTGAAACTGAGGACTGAGGAGTGAGAAAGAGTGAGAGAGAAGAACTGAGGAGGCGGCTGGGAAAGGGGGGAAGAAAAGTTCAGGTGTTTAGGGTTTGAGAGTTTGAGACTGTGTCTTTGGGGACGGGTCAAGTTTGAGCAGAATGGGTATTTAGACCATGGGGTATTCGGTCGGTTTGGGTTGAAAGGTTTTCAACCCGACCCGAACCGTCCTACTCTTAAAACCTAGTTTTTCGGGTCTATGCGGATCGGTTCGGCTGGTTTTTTGGGTTTGGACCGAACCGTGCTCAGCCCTACTCACGATGGTCTCCTTCGAATCCTTAGGTTTTATTTTCCGCCAATTTTTATCTTAACTTCTAGTGTTTGGTTTGAATGATGAATTATGGTACTTTTTCGGCTATATAGATAAACAGATAAGGGAGATAAATAAATAAGTAAATAAATAAGAGAAGAATTTAAAAATAAAGAGAGCATGTTTCCTATGTCCTTTCAATATTGGGACGGGAACTATTATAAGTTGGAAATGATAGGGACACCAACCATAACCACAATCACACCCTTCTCTCTCATTTGCTACAGTACACCGGTCTCCACATGGAATTTTAAAATTTTAAAATTTCATGTGGGAGCCGGCATAGTGTAGCAAATGAGAGACGGGGTGTGGTTGAGGTTGTGATTGGGGGTGTGCCCCTAGTGCCACCCTTAGCTGATAGTGGATCTGTTTACCACTCTCACTAAAGCAGTCTCGCATTCCTCTGGTCAAAAAAATGTTAGAAAATATAATATGACAATAACATGATTTTTTTTTCTTTACCGAGACCTCGCTATATCATCAGTAGTCTTTGTATGATTTGCAAGTGGTCAGTGAAATCACCAAGCGTGCGCATCACTGTATGTTTAAAATATTAATCTTCGCAAATGTTATATTTACTGGCGAACCACATTCATCATAATAGCCTACATTCATCATAGCCTAGACATGCATGACGTTGTTGCATGCTTTGCGTAAATTGTATATATTTTTCTAAAGTGATTGATGAGACTAAAACTATGTGAAGATCTTGATAATTGGGAGTTTACATAGCCTTTTTGGTGCTAAGCTGTGGCTAGCCGGATGAGCGCCACGGGCCTATTCCTAGTATCTTTTTTTTAGTAAAACGAGTAGTCATTTTTTATATGTATGCTTTTGTTTAGAAATCTGAAGAAACGTCTTTAAAATATGCGGTCGTATTAACCTGTAACATTTCTCCACCAACTAAATTTATGGTTAAATATTGGAAAACCATCCTCAAATTTGGTCAGTTATTAGATAACCTCGCATAGCTTTCAAAATATCAGAGAACCCACCTTAAGCTAAGGGATTATTTAAAAAAAAATCTCATTATGACTTTAAGCTTTTTATCAAACAACTACCCTAACAGGACTAGTCTCAAATTTTCACATGGACGGACGCTTATATATCAACACAAATGTATAATATTAACACCTTTGTTATACCATAAATAACACGTGTGTTAATTTAACTCAACTACAATATATTTAATTAGCCAATGTGGGACTAAAACTCACATACTACTAGTAAAACACATTTTAATTTATATCTATAGAATCCAATCATTAAATAATATCTTTCCATAAAAACCCTCAAAGATTCATTTATTTCAACAAAAATTGTAGTTGAATAGTTTTTTTTTTCAGAAGATAATCTTCACATAAAGGATAATCCACGATGATTGTTTCTAGTAAATGACAAAAAAGACCATGTCAATATCTTGCAAATAGTTTTTACCTTCTGGTTATCGCAAAATAGTTTTTACCCTATGGTTATTGCAAATATATATTGGACACTCAAATTTGGTATTCATATCTTAATCCTATCAAAGATTTAAATGATATCACTACATGTATCTGTATCTATCGGGATATGGACATCTAATGTTCATATCTAATATAGGGATACAAGTATGTTTGTGACATCCGTATCCTTTTGCATCCTTAATATGGGAGATGTTGTTATGATTAACTT